AGTAGACACCAACCACTAGGTTCCCTTTGTTGCCTCTCTCTCTGATTCTTACCCATAAGCTTTCGACCTGCTTGTGGCTATTCTTCAGGGACAGCTCTTCACTCTGTAGTGTTTTCTTGATGTAAAGGGCAACACCCCCGCCCCTCCTTCCTCGCCTGTCCCTTCTGAACAGCCTGTAGCCATCAAGAGCTACATTCCAGTCGTGGGATTCATCCCACCAAGTTTCCATGATGGCAATCAGATCGTAGCTTTCCAGCAGGGCGATTCCAACTGAAATGAATTGTTTAGGATGCATACTTCCAATATTTGCCCATGGAAAACCAAAAACCTCGTGACTGTGCAACTGCCATAGGAAAAAATATTGTCATTCCCTGGACTGCATTAACCTTGACGGAGATTTGACTTTACATTGTGACTGAGTGCACTGATTATTAAAACATTATTTTTTTCAAAGTGGTGTGGGGTTTTTTGCTTCTCTCCAGTTTCAACCTGGACCAATCCAAAATACAACAGAACTGTCACGTATACTGCTATGAAGAGTTTCTGTTTCAGTGCATTCACATTTTCTAGGAAAATCCTTTTCCTTTAGACTTTATTCATGATGATATGTACTCCCTTCAAAATCAATTGTTCTTTGAGGAAGTAGAAGTGACCAGGATATAAGGATCATTTTGAAACCTCACTATTTCAGAAAGTGCAAAAATAAATGTGAAACCTCATCTCCACTTTAGTCAATGTCTTTTCTGCTATTAAAGCTTATACTGTACTTTAAAACCTCCAGAAATTTAGTACCTGTGGAAGAAAACCATATACAGTATTTTTAAAATCAGCAGTTCTTTTAGCATTCCATTGCTAAGAGCTATATATAATTTACGATATCTGATCTCACTTACTACAATTACAGCAGATGTTGTTAAAATTTGCTTAAATACAGAAATTCCAGTTAATTTTGAGATACTATCACTCTGCATAAATTCATAGCATTGCTTGAAACGGTGACTATTTTTCTCAAGGAATGAACAAAGATGTCTCTCATTGTTTCTCCAAGAAAAATCTTGTACTCTTACCCCACCCTCCAAAAAAAAAAATTGAGAAAGCATCTTTTTGCTCTTCTACTCTCTCAGAATAGATGTATCTCCATGAAGCTTCTCTTTATAGTGTACATATATGTATTTGTGTGCGCGTGTGAGACAAATGGGATTTCTGCTGCTGACACGAGTGCACCATGGAGTACAAGAGACTCTCCAACACGTGCTTTCAGCACAGAAGGACTTTTTTCATCTTTGTGTAACTGAGCAAGCATAGAAAATAGTAATTGCTAACAGTAGTGCAGATAATGAATACAAAACTGCATAGCACTAATAGGAACCAGAATATTAAACTACCAAAAAAATTACCTCCTTTCAACTTCTACAAGAGGTTTTGTGATGCTAATTTAACTGAAATGAAGCTGTAGACTAGTCCTTCCAGAATCATTAAGTACTTTCTGTTCTTGCCAGTTCTCCATCGGAGGCCCTGCTGGGGTCTAGAATGTGATAGAGGACATGCTCCTGCCGGTGTGGATCAGCTCCTGTAAGGTGGCTGTCACAATTTCAGCATACTTACAAAGCAGGGGGTGCTTCTTGTGCACCTGTGCACACAACATGTTTTCCAGGGAAACGAGAAATTTTAGTCAAACGAAATGTGATTAGTTTTGAACAAGGGAAAGATTTTACTGGAATCAAAGAATGTTGCACGCTTTGCTGGCCTCCTCGCCTTCAGTATCTCTTACCCTTGCCCCAAAGAAGAAACTTCATCAGGAGACTCAGGTGTCAAATGGCCCAGGTGTCAAACGGCCTGGACGCCTGCCATCAACCCCCATAAACTCAGAGACATTATCTAACATTGTGTAAACCAAATTTGACAATTCATGATTTAACTACCATTATAAAAGTCATAGTTAAATAACTAAAATATATATTCTTACTTTTTTCCAGTTGGCTTCTTGTTCATTTTATTCTTGGCCTACTCAGAATTTCCTACAAGGAAATGTACCACATGGTAGCCAACTATGAAGAATTATTGTTACTATATGGAGAGCTTTTTCAATTTTGTACTTAATCCTTTCTAAAGTTGTGCAATAGCTCAGTTCATGGAATTAAGCTGAAGTTTCTTGTAGTAGAACGAATAAAAAGAAAATCTTAAACAATAACACTCATTTTTCCATGTGTTCTTTTCTAACAAAAGAAGTCACATTTTCTTTAGCTGTGTTTCAACAGAGGGATCTCATTCTGTGTTTCTGATTTAGGAATTCAGTATGGGATTTACAAAACTGGAAATCAAGACACTGCAGAAGGTTCTGAAAACTCTTTCAGTGTGATGTAGTTATATAAGCTGACATGTTTTAGGAAGGAATACTACGTTTTCCAATTGTTCTATGACAGTAGAAGCAAATGAAATTCACAGTGTTTCAATGTACTGCCAGTAAGCATAAGCTAGTAAAGCACCATTACATGACACAATATTAATAATGCCATTTGTTTGGGTAAATTAATGCCTGAGTTGATGTATGTGATATTTACAGCCTTATTGGCTTGCAGAGTTGTGGAGTTTCACAGTCTAAAAACATGCAAACATTTTATTGGGAAAAAGTAAATAATGGATCAAACCTACCCTTGCCGATACTCCTCTATTAATTCATTTGCAGTGCTTTCTTACCAGTACCACACTTGTCCTGATCCTATAGGAATGACAAATTAGTTGGCTGACAAGGAAAAGCTTTCTCCTGGATGTGGAAATACATTCAGCTGCCAAATAAAATACAGCTTTCATCCTCTTCTTTCTGAACTGGTTAAGAAGCTTCAAGTATTTTTCTCCTTCTTTTGGTTAACACACAAATTTTTGTTTTATCATTTCAAAACCCATAACTTTATGATGGCATTCCAGAAGAGTATGTAAATTAAGTTTATAATTCCAGTGTGTATGTACTATATCATTGTATATTATAAGGATTCAGATTTCCTTAACGTATGGGGCTGAATCATGCTCCAAGCTCTATTGCTGCAACTCTGCTGACCTCACTGTTGTATTGAAAAATTTTTTCCAATAAAAATTTCATATATACAGGCTAATGCTGTTGAAATGGACAGTCTTCAAGAAAGTTCCAATATCAAAGAAAAGCAAGCCAGACAAACAAGGCAGGATTTTTAAATGCTTTCATTTACATGTTTTTCAGGGACAGTTATGCCTAGTGCGAACATTTGTTTACTGTCTTACAAACAATTCCATACCTATTGCATGTAATTACACTTGCACGTATCTTCACCTACTTCTGGGAACAAATTGATTTCCTAAATGCTTCTGCATCATCTTAATTACTTCACCTGTACATTGCTACAATGAAAATATATCTACCAAAATATTGACACTTCAATCTAAGAACAAATTTTATGTATGTGGACATATAACATCCATTCTTCACTAGCTTAGACAGCTGAGATAGCTAGTGAAGATTGTATGTTATATATCCACATACATAAAATTATTGGTAGATATATTACCTGTGGTCTGATCCTCAACATCTAAAGTCACTGAATATTTTGCTTTGGTATTTTTTGAGTATGATTCAGTCCTTCAGTGTTTTATAGTTAGTAGCCATTCTTAGCAGATATTTAATGTTATTCAGGTTAGAGTTAGACCCTTCACCAGGAAGATCTAGGGACTGAGTTTTGTGTGTAGATGTGCAGCCATCCTGGCGAACAGTGTCCCAAGTTTGGCTTGGGATATTCAGGTGCTCAAGGTAAACTGGTGGGCACACACTGTGGTCAGAAGTTTCCTGGTGCTTCAATGCTGGTTATCTGTAACAGACATTTTTCTTATTTTCCATTGCTAGGAATTTGTCATGATTGTTGTCTTTGGTTTGGAATTCATTATTCGTATCTGGTCTGCTGGATGCTGTTGTCGTTATCGAGGATGGCAAGGAAGACTGCGCTTTGCAAGGAAACCATTCTGTGTAATAGGTGAGTGTCCCAGCTCTAGTTCATTTTAAGTTAAAAATAATAGCTTCCCCTTCTGTTTTGCTTCTGAATGAAGACAAATGGAATCAGACTCTGCTTACAGTAACCAGGTGTAAATCCACAATAGCTGTGTGTCACCTGTCATCTGCCCAAGGCTTTTCTAGATATAAAATCCCAAAGTTCCCAAATACCAGTCATCCCGTGTTACATTTTCCAAAGGACATCTTCCTATGCATGTCATCCAGCTGGCATGTATGTAGGAAGAATGAGGGACTGAGAGCTAATCTCCTTGAAAGTCATGGGAGCTGTATGCATTTAATGGGCATGAATATTAGACGTCTTGTATATACATGCATACATATCTTGAACATACATGCATACATTGTGCTCTCCTTATTTAACCTCTGACCAGCCATAAGTTTGCGGACCTACCAAGAAATGTCTTCTGATAACATTGCTGCTTCCTGCATTGCTGCTCTCTGCGTGACACTCCAGGTGCCTGCTCTGCCAGTTGCTCTGGCAGAGGACGTAGCATACTTCTACAACTATTTCAAGAGACTCTTCCTCCCCTTCTTTGCTCTAGAAATTCTCTCTGAGAATGGTGAATAGGGCCACAAGCAGTCAAAAGCGTATTTTTTAAAAGAACCCACAGGAAAAAGTTTCCCAATAAAGGGAGAAACCAAGGATGGCTAACCAGATTAATCCAATAATTTCTTATTTTTCTAAAGGTTTGGAGCAAATGCTTTTTACAGGACATCTGTGGAACTTCAGGATATCGATTTCCTGACTTCTTTCTCAACCTCTTTCCTCTCTCCAGCCTTTAATTTCGTTTGCTTGTATCTTAAATTAACTTACACATTGATTGGGGCAGGAGACATATTTTCCCATGCATCTACACAGCAGCTACCACAACAAAGTCACACACTTATAGCAGTTACACACACAGGTCTCAGTGGAAACAGTGAATAACAATATTGTCATGTAGATGAATGCAATCCCAGTCTAAAAAAGTTATGCAGTGTCCTGTGGCATAGCAGACCAATGCACTTGTTAGGGCTCACGTGTAAAGCAAGCTTTTGCCTTCGGCCTCATTCCCCAGTAAATCCACACGTTATCCCACTGAGGAATTCCTGCAATGGAAAAATGGGCGTTATCAAGATGTGCATGAGTAGGTGGAAAGGCATTGCAGACTGTCTTCCCCTCAGAAGGAACCACCTCCTCTACGCTATTGTATGACACTGTGGGAGAGGAGGACATATTGGGACTGGGACTGGTTTTGTTCAGGGAGCAGGCGAGATGGGTACGCACCTTACTCAATCCCATTCAGCACCAGGCTGCACATTTGCCCTGAGGTTCCCACATCTGGCCAAAATGAAAGTGGAAACAAAATTCAAAAATCTTCCCAGACTCTATCAGTCACCTGTCAGGCGAAAGCTAGAAATTCAGACATCTACTATTCCTGGCACCAGCAAACATAGCTACTCTCCTTAACCAGACTTACCACTATTCCAAGATTTCTGGTGCACCTGAAACTTTGCAGTAGTCAGGTTTTGTCAGCACATGATCGTAAGAAAGCACCGGACTGTTAACATGGTAAAATTAACCTACTTCAGCTATTTAGTACTTACTAGAAACATATTAATCTTTAAAGAATTTGAACTTACTAGAAGCATTTGACATCTTAGAGTGGTTTGCTGCTCTCCCAAATGCCACTGTGTGGGAACACCAGCAGTTTGTCCGACTCAGCTTTCGTTTCTCCTCCCTTTCCTGTCTCACTCAACTGACGAGTTTCCTGCCAGTGATTAGCTTCAGTCTGAGGTGCTAATTCCCAGCAAAAAGGAATGGAGGTGTTCTTCCTTGTCCAAAACTCTGCACGTTATCATGGGGCAGCTGATGTAGATTTTCCCCCTTTCCTTTAAACAGCTCATAGCTACCCTCCTACTGTTTGTGAAATGCTTCAGGCAGGTCTCCTGGCACAGGCCTCAGTGAATGCTGGGGTTTACTTCACTTGATCATGGTTTTTCCTCCTGTCTCCGGAGTTCACCTGCTCTCTTTGCTGCGCCTACTTTCATGTAGGCAATCTCTAGCCTTGAAAACATCTTCTCTGTCTCCCTTACAACTCCATCACTTGCTTGCAGATTTAATTAGTAGCCAACAGTCTTTTGCTTGTGTCTTCATATGCTGGTTCATTAGATGAAAGGAGAACTTTGTTCTGCAAAACACTGCACAGCTATTAGCGCAGCTGCTGGAAACTAAACCATTAGCTTGAACTTCTTGCCATTAATTATTCTGTGTCTCTCTTCTTCTGCTGATTGATTTTTGTCCATTTCCAGACTTTAGCAACCCTGAAGGGAGATTCAGATGTTCGGCATCTCTACAGATTTGATCTTTTGAGAAAGAACCTTTAGCAAGCCAGCTTGCAGCTCTTGCTGCATTAGGGAACTATTTGCCTGGCACCTCAGCTTTGCAGTCATGGCAGAATTGTGCCCTAGCAGCAATGGCCAATGGGCTGTACAAGCTAGAGCACCATCTTTAGATGAAGACGCATGATTATCTCCCTTTACTTGGCAGTCATTAGTCCACATCTAAGATACTGCACCCCATTTTCCCACTCCCACACCACACATGAAAGACATCAATGAACTGGAGTAAGGTCAGTGAAGGCCACCAAGGTGACTGGGGCGGGAGCATTTGCCCTGTGAGGAGAGACTGAGGGACTTGGGCTTGTTCAGCCTGAAGAAGGGATGGCTTCAAGGAGAACTCTGTGAACTCGGTGCTGAGGTGTTCTTAAAAGCACATGGCCAGTTTCAGCCTGTTATTTTCATGTGTTTGTTTAATTATTTACTTACTCCTCCATTCAGTTATTCTTTCAGCTTATTCTTACAGTGGAACAATAATATTTTGGAAGGCTTAGTCTATTTACCACTGATTAAATTTGCTACATATCTCCAGCAGATCTGTTCTCTGATTATTTATGCGATCAAATACAAATCACATAGGAGAATGGCCTAAGAGCTAGGAATAATAAATTTGAGATTGCCTTAAGGGTCACATTCAGACAGCATTTATTTTTTTCCATTAATAACCTAATAACCAGAAAAAATCTATTCAGGGCCAAAGCTCTGTGCTTACATTAGTGTGCCTATAATGTCACTACCCTGACAAATTAGTTCATCAAGTAACTCTGTGTGCTACCAGGTTAGTAACGATATCTATCAAATTATTTGACAGTCTTGTACCCTTGTTTATTTCTGTGAAAATGGGAATAATAGTGTAGTAATAAACCTTGATTTGTATTTTGCTCTCTCTCAGGAGTTACCTGCCATCCCTCATTTTCTCTGGTTGTGTCTGACCCTGTGCACATAGTGGAAAGGGCATACCAACATACCATCCCACATACTTAAATTATGTACTTAAAGATGTACTTGCTTCAGTAGATCCTGAATTTCCCTGGCATATCAGTCTGAAGCTTGGCTGTTAGCACTGTAGAGCAATGTTGCTGCGTTATACTGTGCAGACATGTGGAAATCCAGGCACCGCATCTCCTAACTGCTGTCACTGGGTGCCAGGGACTCCGATGCCCAGGAAAAAATCTGTGTCTGCCTGTGCTTTAGGGGAAGCCATGCTCACTGAAGATGCCCACTATAAAAGAGGACACGTCTGCTACTCTGGAAAAAAGTAAGGCATCCCCTCCCTGTACAGCCAGTCAGGAAACACATAACATTTCTCCAGGGCAACTAGACTTCCTTGTGAAGTCTGGTTTCATGTATTTCTCATTTCTCATTTTCATGTATTCCTCATTTCATGTATTTCTCTTAGTCCATTAGCAGCTTCCCCACAGCTGCTTCTATTTTACCTCTAGTCAAGCTACAGCATGATGGAAATGTCACAAGTTCAAATTCTGTTGAGGCTGCAGAATGAACAAATTCCCAGCAGGAAGCTTAAGTCCATTATCTGTAATCAGGCTCTTGAACTTCATGGCTGGCAAACCTCGTTTCAGAGCATTAAGTGATAGCAGTGGCTGTTGCTTTTTACAGGATCTATTTTTCATTAATTAGAGTGGTAATGAACCATCATATGGCACTTCTGTCAAACCTTTATAAACAAATCCATATCTAGTGTGTTACAAGATCTGCTGAACTTTTAATTCGAACTAATTCAATATATTTATGTAATGATACACTGTGTGTCTGTCACCTCAGTATTTAGACACATTATATAGTTTAAATAGAGACACATAGTAAGTCTGCTGCTCATGATAAACAATATAAACAGCCCCTTTCCAGTTCAATTTGAACTCTAAATAACCCAGAGATGGTCTGTAATTAAGTATATGCTTGATCAAGGAGACACATCACATCTCATTATGAACCCTGCCAAAACCAAGTTCCAGCAGCAGCAAATTCCTTGTTGAGGGGTCTCCTGCCAGCCCAGCTTGAACGCAACTCAGGAACATGCTGCCCACTTCACTCCAGAAAATACTCTGATAGTAGTAGTAGTAGTATTAAGATTGGAAATTGAAAGTTCATCAGATAATTTCCCCAGCCATAATTATGTGCAATGAACAGAGGCAAACATTAGACTAAAACAGTCCCAAAATGTGTAGGTTTTTAAAAGTAATATTTACCGGCATATCTTCATGTTGACAATCCTGGCAGTACAGTACTTAGAACAGTGTAAGAAAAATAATGTCTTCTCGATATCATGTATGGGCCTTATTCTTTCACATTTACTTTTGCCGACTACTACCCTCCCTGCTGAGAAAGGTAGCATTTGCTACGAGTAAAGACATGAGGCTCTGGTCTTCCTTCGATAAGCTTTGTGTCTGCTATTCAAAAGAAATCTGCTAGTTTGGTACAATGCAGTTCATGTTGAATTTTCTTTCTGGTGTGCACTAAAGAATTCAGCAGCCTGTATTTGTCAATTTGCATCATTTTTTGACCTAACACTAGTGTCACTGCCATGTTATTTTGCATAAAGGAGTGCCTACCATGAACTGGGCA